CTGCCAAGTCATGTGATTGCAACAGCGAATCAGAATGCGTAACACCGATTGCGTCTCTTTGATAAATCTAGGACTCTAGCGGCACCAACATCTTTTATAAAGCTGGTTTTACATTAGTCGCATCGCAGCGTCGCAAGCGTTGCAGTCCAATCAACATCAAGCTAGCTCGATTCTGATTGAATCATAACGCTTGCGACACGCTTGCGACATTGCGATGCGACTAATGTAGAACCAGCTTTAAGGTGCAGCCACAATAGAAGGAATAAGGAATTAAGAATAAAGAATAAAGATTTCAACCTATCAGAAACCATGTATATCCGATATTTGATAGGTTGAAATCTTTATTCCTTATTCCGAATTCCTTATTCCTTCTATTGTGGCTGCACCTTTACATTTTCGACATTACTGATAAAATCGTAGTATCGAAAAACGATATGTACTACAACGAGTGTACTACAACCACAATTGTAAATAAAGGCCGGTAGAGCGATGTTCTTAAGCCGGACTCAGAATATGCATTGAAGATTGAGATTGAAGATTGAAAAATTCAAATTTGACCAATCGAAAGGAGTTAAAATTTCTTTGCCCTTATTGGTCCAATTTCAATCTTCAATCTTCAACCTCAATCTTCAATGCGTAGTCTGATTCCGGCTTTAGTCGTTTTTTATATTTAAAACGATGTCTACAATGAGGGCGCACAGATGGAGCGGATTTAAAGCTCTATTATATAAGTAGCGCATTCCTTTGATCTGAGCCGAAATGCCGACAACCTTCCTATTGGCTATTTCGACCGCCGTTTCGATTTAATCGTCTGCTAGTTATCTGCTAGTCCAATATAACATAGGCTGCGTTCAGCAGACTCAACAGTTTTGCAACCGTTTTATGATTGTCTGCTGAGATAGGACCATTCTTCTAGGTCTAAAAGTATGATCCAATTAGCGCGAAGGAAACTTCCAACAGTTGCAAAACAAACGTTCTGCTGAACGCAGCCATAACTGCGATCCACTTGACACTACAAACGCTTCGAAATATTCTTTGATTAGTCAATTCGTAAAATTCTTTGTTCTGATTGGTCGCTCAAACGCTTCGAAGCGTTTGTAGCGTCAAGTGGACCGCAGCCTGAAACGGTCATTTAAATAGAGAGAGAAAGCAATAAAGAAGGAGAAAATGAGACGGGCAACTCAAGCCTGATTTATAATGGCCGTAAAGGCCATCACACGTACAAAAATTTTAGTCGTAATCGTAAGATCGCAAGCAAATCGACCAATCACAATCAAAATTACGATCTCGCGTTTTAAAACGCTCGATTGTGATTGGCCGATTTG